GCCTACACGACTCCCCAGCGCGTGTTCAGAGTAGCCTATTCAAAGTTTGACCCCATTGAGTATGTCTTTGGGCGACCGTCCTCTTTTGTAAGATACGAGAAACGGATTTTTGTATATTTCGTTGAGTAGTGGTTGTGTTTCTATTAAGTACCAGTGTCTCATGGGAATTTGCTTTAGGTTTGGCATTGATGGTTAGTATTGTATAACACAAAAGGGTTCTGTCCTGGTGTACCGGTTCACAAGGGAATTACCATTGTTCTTTCTTTGTTTAGGAGTCACTGGTTAGCTGTTGTGCATTGTTCGGTCTTTTGTAACGGCTCTTGTGAACCGGTACACGAGGACAGAACCCACAAAAGGCAAGATTCGTTGGTTCGTCTTTTGTTTCTGTTGATTAGCTAATTTCCTGTTTTTTAATTCACTTCTGAGAGGGTTGTGCTAATGAGGTCCTCTCGGTAGCCTCTCTTTAGCAAGTGCGCTTCATTTGTAATTTTCTCCTCAAATATTGTTTCAGAGGAGTTTGTTCTTAGAAGTCTGAGGGTCTCCCCTTTTATGAAGTCTCTTTTAATTCCTTGTGGGTGACAGGAACTATAGTGTGTATTCAGGAATGTCTCAGTTTGTTTAAAATGAGTACGCACATCAGGGATTGCATCTTTTTGAATCGTTCGCCTTTGTAGATGTACAGCTATTTTTTTCACTGTCTCGATCGTTAAGTTGTCTTGATTTCAGCTTGCACCACGCGTGCTGATTCGATCGTACTACAGTTCTTAGTGTTCCCATTTAACACAAAATTTTTTTGGATTTGCAAAATATTCTCAGAGTTTGACAAAATGTTTTTGGATTTCAAAATATTTTTTTGGATTCACAAAATATTTTCGGATTTTGAAAAAATTTTTTTCAGATTTCAAAATTTTTTTGGATTTGCAAAATATGTTCGGATTTTGAAAAAATTTTTTTGGCTTTCTAAATATTTTTTTGGATTTGCAAAATATCTTTGGATTTGTCAAACTTTTCAACAGTGAGTTTAAAATAGATATTGCGATTTGAAATATTTTTCGAGATTTGAAGAATATTTTTGGATTGTCCCTTTTCGGCTACCGTAGGGAAGAGTAATGCTTTAAGTTAGTTAAGGAGTTGTTTGATGGGAATTTTTTAGAACTAGATTTACACCAATCACTACCCATTGGAATAAAGTAACGATAGAAGGTATTTTCTTTCCTCCCTCTCTCCTGGTATTCAGCTCAAGTTATCAAAATCCATAAAGCCACTTTACTTTCACACGCGTCAAGTGAGCGATGCTCTTCAAAACAACAATGAATGATCGATGCTTCCTGCGCTTGCCCCAAGATGAGCCCCTTGAACTGACTAGGAAACCAGTATTGTCAAAATACATGCGTCGTGCAGAGTGTAGCTCTAAGAATTTTTCAACAATTATTTTAAAATCAGTTTTATGTTTTGCAGTAAATGACTTGAACCCGGGGGTAACATGTGAAGGTGTAGTCTGATCGTCTGGGTGAGTGTAGTCCTGAGAAGGACTGTTGTCGATGGTAGTGACTGACGTTTCGACAACCTGTGCGGAAGTCATCATCAGAGTCAAGTGAATGATTGTTGTCAGTAGACAACAACCATTCTACTGACAACAATCATTCACTTGACTCTGATGATGACTTTCGCTCAGGTTGTCGAAACGTCAGTCACTATACCACCAACAACAGTCCTTCTCAAGACTACACTCACCTGGACGATCAGACTACACCTTCACAGTTTTATGTTTGTTTGATTCTCATGGAATGAAAAATTTTTGTGAGAAAGTTAGTGTGGCGTGACACGTCAAAGTGATTGATGGCGGACCTAGTAATCAAAGTTTAATGTCTTTACGTGGGGCATGGTTACCCATATTGCCGGAGCCAGAGGCTCATGTATGAATCGCAAGACAACAACCCACCCATCCCACCCCAGGGGAGGACATCCATCACACAGTAATCTTGTGCGTGGGAAATTAACGTCTCCTACCCCTAACCCTGCAGGAGACGGGACATCCATTTATTCGTTCCTATCCGAGAAGACTAGAATATCTAAACCATTTCTTGATGTTATAGAAAGGCAGCATATTCTTCTCAATTATTTTAAGACCTTGAGTGTTGGTCCGGCCGGGGCTAGGCATTTATGGATTATGCTAGTAAAAGTGACATATTATGCTAGTAGCATTGCTTTTTTTTTGGCCAAATTATGCTAACATTATGCTCTTTTTTCCAAATTATGCCACCGTTTTTTTAAATTATGCTCTTTGAAAAAATGCAAATAAGTCCAAAATATATATTTTTTAACTAGAAGCCGTTCGTCTACAGGAAAGAAATGCAACAAATCCACAATTAATTTCAAATAAACATGTGGTTCTGGTTAGACCCGGGCTCAGTGCTTCACAGTGAACTACAAATGC